TCTTGAGAACAAACAGTTTAGGAACTGCTGTTGGAGCCCCAAGGTAAGGCCCTGAAAAGGAAGAAGAGAACAAACTCTCTGTTTTGTACAGCAGGCACTCAACAATTGAATATGATAATGATAAGGACATGTAAAACCAGTGTGACTAACACTATGAGGCAGGAAGTGAAAAGTGCTGAATAAGTGGTCTAAATGTGCACTGTCCAACATGGCAGCCACTAGCCACATGTGGCTTGGAATGTGGCTAGTCCTAACTGACATGCCCTGTAAGAGCTAAATACACACCAGACTTCAGAGACTGAGTATGAAATAAAGAATGCAAAGTATCTTATTAATAATTTTTTATATTGATTATATGCCAAAATGTTAAGATTCTTGTATATACCGGGTTATTTACAATATTAAAATTAATTTTACCTGTGCTTTTTTCCTTTTTAATGTGGCTATGAGAAAATTTGCAATTACATATGTGGCTTGCATTTTATTTCTCTTGGAGAGCGCTGGTTTGGACAGGAAGTATGACAAGAATTTGGAGCAGGGAAACATTGCTGTGGGTTCAGGTCATCGGGAAGTCTTCACTGAGAATATAGGATTTTGCTAAGTAGGTAGGCTCAGGAAGGAATATCCAGTTGAAGAAAGCATCGGTAGTGAAAAATGAGGTTAATCTTGGTAGCTGAGGTGACTGTTTTGGGTCACATCGTGGGCTCTTATAGGAGAGAAAAGTTTCCTGGATAGGTCGGGACCAAACTGTACAGAACTTAAAGTGCCAAGAATTTGGATTTTTTTCCTATAGGCAGTGACAGCTTCCCCCGAAGAAAATCAGACTTTGCTTAGTAGCTTATGGACTAGCCTGAAATTGGCACTTTCTCATGTAGGGTTACAGCAGCATAAACTCCTGGAAACTGCCCACTGAACAAGCAGTGGGGACCAGGCCTACTTAACCAGGAAATTTAGAGTGATATGGAAAGTGTGACTTTGGGTTGATTGACCTGTTTGGGGGTGGGTTGTAAGTTTCAGCACATGATAATAATGTCACCTGGGAGAGAAGAATCCAGAGAGTGTACCTGTGTGGTACCGGTCAGGGGAGAGGGAGGCAGGCATTTTACCTTGGTATATTGCTCTAAGCATGTGTATAATCAAATTGAGTGACACTTCCTACCTTTCTTTCAGTCTGTCTGTCTTTATTTTTGCCTTTATTTTACTAATTTTACTTTTTTAAACATTTTTATTGATTTTTAATACACAGTGGGGTTTTACTGTGTTGCCTGGGCTGGTCTCAAACTCCTGGGCTCAAGGAGTCCTCCCACCTCAGCCTCCCAAAGTGCCAGGATTACAGGTGTGAGCCACCACGCCTGGACTTGTCTTTATTTTATTGAACGTTTATAGGGCCCCTACTGTGAATCAAGGAGTTAAGAACTAACTACAAGGAGATGAAATTAAAAGGCCACTGAGGTGGGAAGGGAAACACCTGGGCTCTTATCGGGCTCCATGGCTAACTTATTGAGTCATCTTGGTCATGTCACTGGGTCTCTTCAGATATGAAAGAGGATTTAGCATTAGATGGGACGAAGACTTCCTCCAACTCTGTGATTCTAGAACAGGCTGATGTTACAAAGGGAGAAGAACGCACCGTAACAACCAGGGACAAGGCCACTCAGGGAGAGTAGGAGGAGGCTGGGCCAGGAAGGGCAGGCACTGGTGGCCTACCCAGGAGTTGGCCCAGACCTCTGGGTCAGGTCACCCTTCTCAGAGTGGGCGGGCCCCGCTGGAATTGGAGACCGGTAAGGTCTACGAGTTTGGTGTTTTAATCCTGGCTACCCACCCCTTCCAGCCCAGGGGTGGCTCACCAGGCTGAGTGGAGTCTTATACTAGGGAGAGAGGAAGCTGAAGAACTGAGTTCCAGGTAAGTAACTTTGCAGCGGATCTCGGATTGTCTAAGGAAACCACTGAAGAAAATGTGCACCCCGCCCCTCCCCTTTCTCCTGGCACTCCTGAGCCACCTGCGGGAGCGGCTGGGAAGGATAAGAGGGAAGAGGACGCCCGATGAAGGGGCTCCAGTTTCTGCGTGTTAGCATTTCTAGAATAAAGTGGGTGGGAACCGACCCAAGTAAAGTCCCAGAGACTCGAACACTGACGCACAGGAAAGCCTCAAGTGGGAGGAGAAATGCAAATCCCCTACTGACGATGGCGTCAGCGGCTTTCTCCTAGGGACTGTGAGGGGCGCTTCTGACTTTGGACTTGAGCACCGCCTGGGACCTGTGCTGAGAGAGCGCTAGGTAAGTGGCCAGACCACACCTTCTCGCTGCCTCTCGCGAGGAGGACACGCTTATTATGCAGGATGCTCTGAAGCTTTGCTTTCCCTTGGCGTTTTGACTGTTGCTTCATTTTAACCTGCCTGAGGAGGGTTATTATAGAAGGAAGCGCCCGACTCCACGACCCACAGACGCGCCCTGGCACGGGCTCTCCGCGGAAACCGCCCCGCAGGCCCGCGCCACTGTGCCCGGGCGAATCTCCCAGCCGGGGCCGAGGAGCTGCGGCGGCTGCGGAGGTGTGTCCTCGCGGAGGCTGAAAGTGAGCCCCTCTTCACTTTCTTAGCCAGCTTCTCTAGAGCTGTGATGTCTGCCTTTAGATTAGCTACCTGGGTTTCAGAAAAAAGCTCGCAGCTACGGCAGCCGGTGACTGTGGTTTTGATGGGCGCGAGTGACATTTTAGGGCAGGTCATCTCCTTTTGCAAGCTACAGGCCACAGAGCCAAAGCGGCACCACCAGCTCACAGACAGTCGGAGAAAATGCCCCGTTAGTGGGTTCTTCTAGGAACTGCATGCAAAAAGAACAGACAGGCACTCAGTTTTCAGAAGCAACGTACACAATTTTCACGAGAAAGTAGTCCCTAGACAGTGAAAGCAAAGAAACCTGCTGAAGGATGCCTAAAGGCGTTCCCAGAGGCTGCAGTAGAAAATGTCCTAGGACTATGTATTCCTTCTTCTTCCTTTTTTCAGCTTTGAATTCAGCTCTCCGAAAGACTCAGATCTTAGTAGTGATTTTTTTCGGTGTTTATTTTTATTTTTAAAAAATTTCCTTTTATTTTTATTTGATACACAATTGTAAATATTTGTGGAATATAGAGTGATACTTCCATAAATATAAACAATGTGTTATGATCAAAGGATAATCAGCATATCCATCACCTCAAACATTTATCATTACTTTGTGTTGTGAACATTCAAAGTCCTCTTAGCTTTTTGAAAATATACACTAAGTTACTGTTAACCATATTCATCCTAGTGTTACAGCACTAGAACTTATTCCTCTCATCTACGTGTAAGTTTTAGTTAGAAAATACATTTTCATCCAAATCATAGCAGGGGTTTAACAATAGTATGATGAAAAATTGTAATGCTATTTTCAACTCCTGTTCTCTGTTGTCATTAAAATACATTGATAGATAGGACAATGTTGATAGTAGCATGGGAACAAATGTTCCAATTTTGTGTGGAATATATATCTCTCTCTCCAATATTTGGAAAGACAAATGGTTCAGGCTCAGGAAACTTCAGATTGCCCCTTAGAAGCCTCACACATTAGGCAGGCGTCATTTCGCCTATTTGATCTTCAAGTTTTTCCTTTTTAAAGTTGACATACTACTTATATCCACCTACTCTATTCATAGCAATGTCAGGAGTGCCACTCATTCTTCATTTAGCAAGCATTGATTGAGCATTTACAATATGCTAGAATTGTAAAGTGTAAAGGTTTTCATAAATATAAAGTGATATGCAAATAAAACATTACTTCTTTTCCCACTTGCTTTCTCTTTAGCAAAACATTGGCAACATGTTTTTCTATAAATTTTAAGTCATTTACCAGGAGCTCGGGGAAAAGGTGCTCAAAATGACTCCATTTGAAACCTGAAGAATATGTATATGAAATATATGAAGTTACCCTGGTGTTCTATAGGCAAAAGGAAACCTTAGCCTATCTATGAAATGTGTTGAAATGTTATGGCAATTAATCACGTAAGAGGGGGTTTGGTGTTTTTATTTGACTTAGAATTGCTGACAAAACAATAAAAAAATTGACTTTGGAAAACATGAAATGCTGTAATTTCAAGCAGGCAGCGTCATACTAATTTTCCTAAGTTAGGAAATACTTCTACAGCTTCTAAATTGGCCAGAGTGGGGTTACAAGGGGGAAATGCGTACCTTTGTTTTATGACGGCTGCCAAATAGGTATCAAGTGTGGTTTCTTACTCCTTAAGTAATTTGAGGGTTTAACCACTATCAGATGTTTCTCAGAGACAAAAAGACTACATCCTTTAAGAGCTTTGCCCACCCATAGTGGATCCTCACAGAGAGAAGTAAAACACATTCACTGGTTCAGAAATATTTTTAATTTAAAAAACTGGAGGCCACGAAAATGCACACATAAAATTCTTCATGAAGCTAAGACATAATTGGACTAGAAGTCAGGAACATAAAGCTGACTCTAGAAGCCAGACAAATCTGAAATAAAGAAAACAGAAATTTGGCAATTTCGTATAAAAGAAGCCTTTTGGGGGGTTGTTCTTCACATATGAAGTATTAGAGGGTTTTAGGAGGTGTAGTAAATGTCAAATACATTTCCCTTCAAGTTGCTCCAAGTCTAAGTGTAGAGGGGACAAGAGATAGGGAAAGAGCTTGTTGGTAATATACATTCACGTAGATAGCTGTGGGCAGGATGTGGGCTGTTTGGGGGAGCAGGAGCGGGAGTGAAAGCTTCCTGGAGCAGGTGGAACAGGAGTTCATTTTAGAGCAAGGAAGGCTGTACTTTAGGGGCACAGAAAGAAGGCTTCTCCCTTCATTAGGGTTGAATTATGAAAAACAAAAAACTTAGTGAAATTTTTGTATCCTTGGATATATTGGAATTCAGTCATAACATTGACTAATTCTAAGGAAAAAAGAAAATATGTACTAGGGCCATGAACAATATTTTAAAACTCTAATTCTACCCCTTCTTTTATAGCATGTCTCAGTGGAATCAAGTCCAACAGTTAGAAATCAAGTTTTTGGAGCAGGTGGATCAATTCTATGATGACAACTTTCCCATGGAAATTCGGCATCTGTTGGCCCAGTGGATTGAAAATCAAGACTGGTAGGATCAAACATACTTTCCCTAGAAGTTGATGCACAAATGCTTGATGCTCTATCCCTGTGAATTTATTTTATGGTCCACTTTTGACTCAGTAGATGCATTCTTTTCAGATAAAGAACTTTCTCAAGAATTTGAAAAGCCTTCCCAAAGAAAGGGAATCATTGTCCTTTCTGGTTCCATTCATTGTAAATGAAAACTTAATGGTTCTAGTGCTTTGTTTCTCTGTAAACAAAAACCCAAATGATTTTTCATGTATTAAAGAACGAAGCAAATCAATTGATTGTCAGTTCTGTGTCACAGACTGAATGTAAATCAGTATTTTTTCTCAGTAAGATTTATATTCTTCAAAGCTCTATTCACCTTATACCATTTAATTTTTTTTTTCATTCGGCCGTCTTTTTTATTGTGGTAAAATACACATGACATGAAATTTACCATTGTTCTTGGTGTACTGTTCAGTGGCATTATGTATGTTCACATTATTATGCAACCATCACCACCATCCATCTGCAGAACTTTTTCATCTTTCCAAACTGAAACTCTGTAATCTTTGAACAGTAATTCCCTAGTCCTCCACCCCCAACCCCTGACAATCACCATTCTATTTTATGTATCTGTGAATTTGACTACTCTAGGTACTTTATATAATTGGAATCACACAATATTTGTCCTTTTGTAACTGAATTATTTTGCTTAGTGTAATGTTTTCAAAATTCATTCATGTTTAACAGGTTTCATATCAGAATTTTCTTCCTTTTTGAAGCTCAATAATATTCCATTGTTTGTATGTATCACATTGTGTTTTATAAATTTATCTGTCAATGGACATTTGGGTTGTTTAAACCTTTTGGCTATTGCTAATAACTCTGCTAGGAATATTGGTATGCAAATATCTGTTTTAGTCCCTGCTTTTAATTCTTTTGGGTATATACCCAGATGTGGAATTGCTGGATCATATGGCAATTTTATGTTTAATATTTTGGGTAACTGCCATACAGTTTTCCACAGTGATTGACCATTCTACCTTCCCACCAGCATTGCACAATTTCTCTGTATCCTCACCAACACTTAGTTTCTGTTTTTTTTTTTTTTTTCCTTTTTATAATAGCCACCCTAATGGGTATGAAGAGGTATCTTACTCTGATTTTGACTTGAAATTCCCTAATGATTAGTGATGTTGAGCATCTCTTCATGTTTACAATTCAATTTTTAAAAACTTCTAAATGCTTATCACCGTGTAATAGGTTTATTGCTTTAAAATTAGTATGGTAAAAAAGTAGACATTTTACCAAGTTGTTTTCTGTTGTGTAATAATCCTTTATTTTTTTTAGGGAGGCAGCTTCTAACAATGAAACCATGGCAACAATTCTTCTTCAAAACTTGTTAATACAACTAGATGAACAGTTAGGTCGTGTTTCCAAAGAGAAAAACCTACTCTTGATACACAATCTAAAAAGAATTCGGAAAGTCCTTCAGGTGAGAATGCATTCTACTTTTCCAAAATATTTGGATATATGAGTCTTAAATTCAGTTAAAAAATTAAATATGTACCCTTATATTATTTTCAAATGAAATTCAGGGGAAAAAATTGAGTTATCTTACCACTTACAAATTTTGTGCTCAATTTTATTACCCAATATTTTTTCATGAAATGTTGAAAGTAAAATACACTAAAAATGTAGTGTATAAAATACATTACAAATGTGTTTCATGTGGGACTTGCATGTATCTTGTTTACTAGCTATGATCCAGTTCAACAGTACAGTTTTATGGCTCTCCAGCAGCCCTCCCTTGCCTTTGTCTCCTATGTAACAAGTTAGAGTTAGTATTGTTCTCATTCCTAAATGGGAGCATCATGAGTGAATGTATCCTTCCAGATTTGGTTCAGATCTCACTCTCCTTTAAAAGTGTTCTTTGGTACTCTCTGGTTCACCCAGGCAGAGCCCATCTGTGTGTGTTTCCTCAGCACCAGAACACATCAGTACTGTGGCATTTAGTATTCGATATTATTGCTATTCCTATGTGTTCAATGTCTCCCCATATCATGAGTTCCTTGAGGCAAGGACTTTAGTGTTCAACTTTGAATTTCCAGCACCCAGCATAAGTCTGGACTTGTGGTAGATAAGCAATGTTTACTGATTAAGGGGTGGGTAAATGAAGTAAGTGAATCAGGGATCTAAAGAATTAAAAGCAGGCTAATATGGAGCTACACCCAGGAGTGCTAATGTAATAAACCCTGACCATGGACTGCTATAATATTTACTGAGTGCCTATACAACATATTAGATAACAGAAAAAGTGCTTTGTGCCATTTTTCATGGAGATATTTTTAGAATCCAAAACCTACAATTAACACACTTTTAGAACATTTTAGTTAGACTATAACAGAAATGTTCTTGGCATCACATTTGTGAGAGGGACAAATATATTGATTTTCCTATTGTTGTCTGGATTGCACTGAGCTATCTTTGCCCTTGTAATCCCCTACAAATCTGCAAGACTCTTGACAAGAAACAGGACAATAGCATATTGCTGACAAAACAGGATTTTTGGCAGCATACAGAAATCTGTCTTTTATGGAGACAAGTCATTTAACAGTGGCCTCATTAGCTTAGTGCTTTAATCTGTAAACCTAAAATGGGGATTGGCATGCCATGGCCCACAAGTCAAAAGGCCACTGCCCATTTTCATATGGCCCATGACTAAGGATGGTTTTTATATTTTTAAGTGATTGGAAAAGAATAAAAATAAAATAAATCATACAATTTAAAATAATATTTCTGACACATGAAAATTATATGAAATTCAAATTCCTGGTTTTTATTGAAACACAGCCACACTCATTGGTTGACATATTGTTTATGGCTGCTCTTACACTACAATGGCAGAAGTTGTGATAGAGACAGCATGGCCTACACAGCCTAAAATAAAAATAAGTGTGCGTATTATACATGTCTATGTGTGTATACATATATGCCTCATATTTACGTGTGATATATATGTGTATCATATTTATCTGACCATTTATAGGGAAGTTTGCTAACTCTTAGCCTATTAGTAAAGCGTCTTTAGGTCACTTTGCTAGATAAGCACAGATGGGGAAAATATTAATAGATGATGTATGGTCCTTGGAACCAAGAAGATCTGGGTTAAAAATCTGACCCTCAAATGTGGCTTTAAGGAAATCACTTTAATCTTCTGACCTGTATCTTTTAATATAAATAAAGATGATTATTATTTAGCTTTTGGAATTGTGAGGAAGGCTGGCGCTTTTCTTCTGGCAAGAAGTACGCATTCAATAAATGATTCTTCTTGTTGTTGGTAGGGAAAATAACAGGATTTCCTTAATGTAACTCAGGGGTAAGTAAACAGCCCATCTTTTGTGCGGTGTGGGAGGATAAGATTGTGAGGGAAGCTTCACTTCTGGCCAGTTGTATCAGACGAACCTTGTTAAACCATCACTTCTATCTCATTACACCACTGCTCAAATACCTGCAGTTACCCCCAGTCACGCTTCAGCTCAAGCACAAATCATCTGCGTGTGTCATTGGCCCTCTAGCATCTTTCCTCTTTAGACTTTTCCCAGCAATCTTCCTTGAGCTCCTCCACATCCCTACCTCAGAAAAATAGATCTACTACTTGTTCCTGAACACATCCCACACACTCTTGAATGACTCAGCCTTGTCCATGATGGTCCCATGGCCAGGAATGCTCTTCCGTCCCTCTTCCACCAGTCTAATTACCATCCATCCCTAAAGAATCTGTGTAGGTCCCAGTGCAACAAGAAAACCTTCACCACATGCTTTAGTCTGTGTTCTCATGCTCCAGCCCTCTAGCGACAACTACAAGGTAAGCAGCATCTCCTTGTGTCCCTTTCATCTGTGTTGCACATGTGTCTAACGGGGTAACAAGGTCCTTAAGGGTAAAAGCCTGATCTCCTTTTGTGACCCCCCTCCCTCACCCTCAGTACTCAATATGGTTCTAGTGCACACTAGGAATTCAAAACACAATTTGGTGAATTAAGATATTTGAGTTGAAAAAAATGCTTGCCCTTTCTTGTGCTTCCATATATATCAATTTATAAATTGTGCTTATTGGGTATTTGTATTAACAACACAGTAGAAACTAGTAGTAAAAATCATTGTCAGCTATGGTTTTACACCTAAACAAACTTGCATTTTGTGCTTCTTTTTAAGCTACTATACTCCTATTAAGTTGTGTATGTTTTTTGGGGGGAGAGGTGTTATGATGAGTCTTTTTTAAAAAATAAGATCCTCTCTTCCCTACAAAAAAGAAAAAAAAATCCCCATCAAATGACTGTTGACACTATGCTTATCTGGTTTAAATATTTTCATCCTCTGGAAGTTTAAATACAAACTATCTTGACAATTACAGCAAAAAGGAGTAAACAGTATGATACCTGGGGAACTAAGGAATGTATAAGGTAGATTTATTTTGGTTCTTTGTGGAACAGCTGAGATCTCTAGTTTCAGTATTTTATTATTTATATTACACCTCCTTCCAATAATAATTTGGAATGGCTTGTTATAAAGGACAAAACAAAACCACTTTCCCGAGGGTAAATTCAGGAAGCTCCAAGGTGGAAGTAATAAACACCATCACTCAACTGGCCTTGGCCTATTTAAGGGGAGGCAGACTCACACCCAGGAGCAAGGGTTACTTGAATCCTGGCCCTGCCACTTGCAATGTGGCCCTGAGTAAGATATTCACACACTCTGGCATCAATTTCCTCAGCAGTATAGGGGCAATTACACTGGTACTTTCCTCACAGAAATGTTAGGAGTATGGAGAAAATTGATTCTCAAACATGCAACAAGGACCGTAGTCTTTTGCTAAAGGTTTGCTAAAAATAAATACCTGCCCCAGATAATACAAGAATGTTTTGCTTTGAAAAAATTAACGGACCTTAAACAAATTAATGTAGTTTATTTTTAAGAGTAGTTTTAGGTTTACAGAAAAATTGAGCAGAAAGCGAAGTTCTCATATACTTCCAAGCTCCACATCCCAGTTACCCCTATTATCCATGTCTTGCATTGGTAATATACATTTGTGACAGTTGAAGAACTAATATTGATACATTATTATTAACTTACTTTTCAAGACTACATTAGGATTCACTCCTTGTGTTGTATAATTTTGTGGGTTTTGACAATGCATAATATCATGTATCTACCATTACAATATCATGCTAGAGAATTTCATGGCCCCTGAAAATCTCCTGTCCTCCACAATATTCATTATTCCCTCCCTTCCCATGGAACCCCCGAACACTACGGATCTTTTTACTCTCTAGATTTTTCTCCCATGTGATAATTCTTTTTTTACTGATATACATATTTATGGGGTACATGAAATATTTTATTCCATGCATAGAATGTGTAATGATTAAGTCAGGGTATTTGGAGTATCCATCATATTTAGAATTTATCATTTCTATGTTGGAAACATTTCAAGTCCATTCTTCTAGCTATTCTGAAATATACATTACATTATTGTTAACTATATTAACCCTGCTATAGAATGTTAGAACTTAATCCTTCTATTTAACTGTATGTTTGTACCCATTAACCAGGCTTTTTTCATTTCCCTCCATCCACCCGTCCTTCCCAGCCTCTGGTTTGTATATTCTACTCTTTACTTCTATGAGATCCACTTCTTTAGCTCCCATATATGAGTGAGAACATGCAATATTTGTCTTTCTGTGCCTGGCTTATTTTATTTAACATAATGACATCTGGGACGATCCGTGTTGCTGCAAATGACATGATTTTATTCTTTTTATGGCCAAATAGTATTCTATTATATGTGTGTATGTATGTATATAATATATATATAAAATATAATACATATATACATATATATGTATATACATATATAATATGTCTGTATGTGTATATAGAATATTTCCTTTATCCATTCTTCCATCAATGGACACTTAGGTTGATTCCAAATCTTTGTTATTGTGAATAGTGCTGCAATAAACATGCAAGTGCAGGCATCTCTTTTATATTCTAATTTTTTTCCTTTGGATAAATACCTAGTAGTGGGATTGCTAGAGCCCATGGTAGTTCTATTTTTAGTTTTTTGAGACATTTCCATAGTGGTTGTATTAATTTACATTCCTACCAACGGTGTACAGACTTCCTTTTTCTCTGCATTGTCATCAGCATGTTATTTTTTTTGTCTTTTTAAAAATAGCCATTCTAGGCTGGCCGTGGTAGCTCACGCCTGTAATCCCAGTACTTTGGGTGGATCACCTGAGGTCAGGAGTTTGAGCCAGCTTGGCCAACATGGTGAAACCCTGTCTTTACTAAAAATACAAAAATTAGCCGGGCGTGGTGGTGCATGCCTGTAATCCCAGCTACTCAGGAGGCTGAGGCAGGAGAATCACTTGAACGTGGGAGATGGAGGCTGCAGTGAGCTGAGATAGTGCCACTGCACTCCAGCCTGGACAA